TTTCCAGGAGTTAGGGGGAGTTATTGTTTAATGGGTAGAGATGCCTGTTTGAGATGATGAAATATTTCTAGAGATAACTGGGCTGGTTGCACAGCATTATGAATACATTTAATGCCTCTGAATTGAACACGTAAAAATGTTTCCAATGGTGAATTTTATGTTATGTGTATTTTACCACAATTAAAAATAAATAAATAAGAAAGAATTTCTTTGGGACTCAAGGCCTTCTGAAAGCTTTTCTGCTCCAGCCTGATTGGAACGCCATCCTCTGTGTGCCTGGGGATACATCGTGCTCTGATTATTAATGCACTCGGCTGTCTCGACACTGAGCTATGAGCTCCTGTAGATTATGGTTCACGTTCTTCTCTACTCCCATCTCTGGCTCTAACCAAATGCCAGCATATCATAACAATTTGATAATTCCATTCTAAATTAGTGTTTGAGTTGCATATAAGCAGTTTATTTAAATAATGAAACACATATTAACTATTACCAGAGTAGTGCTTAGTTGGATAAAGTTGGCTCAAGTTCTTCAACTTATCTGATAGCTCCATCATCCCCCCTGCCCAAGGATACATGCATTCACTAAAAGGGTTGAAGGTGGGGGGAGAGAGAAAGCCCTCCCAGTGAGGCACGGGAACACTGCAATTCTTTTTCCTTCACTCCTTCTTCTTTTCAGGATTTTAGCACACTTATATATATGCAGCTAGAGTGTATTTTAAGCTGCTAAGACCAGGATTTAAATTATAGCTGGTCATGTGGGAGCTGGCTCCTTTAACCACTGTTCTATAGGGTTGGCCCTCCATCATCCATCATTCTTTTGAAAAGGCAACATAGCAAGTGGATTGATGGAAAACACTGAATTTTAGCTTGATTAACTCAGACTTCTCCTTTATTCTTTTCTTTTCTTTTCTTTTTTTCTTTTTTAGAGAGAGAGTTTTGCTATAGGACAAGTGCAATCACTGGAAAGACAGAGAATAAGATGGGGAGATGGCCATGCTGCAATACCTTCTCCATTCTCCTCTCAGAATTTTGGGCACACACACATAGGTGTCATGAGTTTCAAGTCACTGGATCTGGGACTCAAACTACAGCTGACCCTCTGGGAGTCCAGCACTTTAACTACTATGCCACCTGCTGGCCCTCTCCTTCACATTCTTAGTTCATATATCATCATCATGTCTAGGGAGCCACCCTTGATATCTATGATTTACGTGAAGGAAGAGTCTGAGGAAAAGGGAAGGGGGAAGTAATTTCTCCATTAGGAGGCCTGTCTAAAGGCTAAACCTCATATCCCAGCTTCTGTGCCCTATAGGAACTGGCAAGGAGCCAGCTTGTAGTAATTCTTCCAAAACTATGTTCCAGATGTTTGAAATCAAATAAATCAATTCTTAGGAATTAACTCTTAGAAGTGGGAGGCTATTGTTCCAGAATTTCTAGACATGTCTTCCCAGACAAATGGGTCAGCACTGTAAGTGGGGAAAACAGTTTGTTTTCTCTTGTGCCTCGGGACATAGTGAAAGAATTTCGGCTCCTCTCTGTTATTGTTACAGATTTTGGTGTCAAGAGAAATCAGAGTGCAGTGTAGAGATACCACTGTTTCAGGAGTCCTGCCTGGGTTTTGTATCTATGGGCCTGGCAGACCTGTTGAGAATGGAGGAACATTTCTTGAATTGCTGTATGATCCAGCAATTCCACTCCTGGGTAGATACCCCAGATAATTGAAAACAGGGATTTAAACAGATGCATGTCCACCCATGTTCACAGCAACATTATTCACACTGGCCAAAGGATAGACACAACCCAAGTGTCCACCAACAGCTGGATGGCTAAGTGAAATGTAGCATATGTATACAATGATCTACTACCACCTTAGAAAGGAAAGTCATACTGATCCATGCTGCAACATGGGTAGTCTTGAAGACATTGTGATGGATGAAATAAGCCAGACATGAAAAGGAAAATACTGTATGATTGTACTTACATAAGGAATCTGTAGAACAGGCAACATCATAGAGACAGAAAAGGGAAATGAGGTTTCCAGGAGTTAGGGGGAGTTATTGTTTAATGGGTAGAGATGCCTGTTTGAGATGATGAAATATTTCTAGAGATAACTGGGCTGGTTGCACAGCATTGTGAATACATTTAATGCCTCTGAATTGAACACGTAAAAATGTTTCCAATGGTGAATTTTATGTTATGTGTATTTTACCACAATTAAAAATAAATAAATAAGAAAGAATTTCTTTGGGACTCAAGGCCTTCTGAAAGCTTTTCTGCTCCAGCCTGATTGGAACGCCATCCTCTGTGTGCCTGGGGATACATCGTGCTCTGATTATTAATGCACTCGGCTGTCTCGACACTGAGCTATGAGCTCCTGTAGATTATGGTTCACGTTCTTCTCTACTCCCATCTCTGGCTCTAACCAAATGCCAGCATATCATAACAATTTGATAATTCCATTCTAAATTAGTGTTTGAGTTGCATATAAGCAGTTTATTTAAATAATGAAACACATATTAACTATTACCAGAGTAGTGCTTAGTTGGATAAAGTTGGCTCAAGTTCTTCAACTTATCTGATAGCTCCATCATCCCCCCTGCCCAAGGATACATGCATTCACTAAAAGGGTTGAAGGTGGGGGGAGAGAGAAAGCCCTCCCAGTGAGGCACGGGAACACTGCAATTCTTTTTCCTTCACTCCTTCTTCTTTTCAGGAGTTTAGCACACTTATATATATGCAGCTAGAGTGTATTTTAAGCTGCTAAGACCAGGATTTAAATTATAGCTGGTCATGTGGGAGCTGGCTCCTTTAACCACTGTTCTATAGGGTTGGCCCTCCATCATCCATCATTCTTTTGAAAAGGCAACATAGCAAGTGGATTGATGGAAAACACTGAATTTTAGCTTGATTAACTCAGACTTCTCCTTTATTCTTTTCTTTTCTTTTCTTTTTTTCTTTTTTAGAGAGAGAGTTTTGCTATAGGACAAGTGCAATCACTGGAAAGACAGAGAATAAGATGGGGAGATGGCCATGCTGCAATACCTTCTCCATTCTCCTCTCAGAATTTTGGGCACACACACATAGGTGTCATGAGTTTCAAGTCACTGGATCTGGGACTCAAACTACAGCTGACCCTCTGGGAGTCCAGCACTTTAACTACTATGCCACCTGCTGGCCCTCTCCTTCACATTCTTAGTTCATATATCATCATCATGTCTAGGGAGCCACCCTTGATATCTATGATTTACGTGAAGGAAGAGTCTGAGGAAAAGGGAAGGGGGAAGTAATTTCTCCATTAGGAGTATTGGCATATGTTACCTGGTGATACCGGATAACATCTGCCTTTCCTGCTCTGAACTGCCATGAGCTTGTAATGTGATCTTGTCTCTGCTATCACCAGACTTTTTGCATGGCATTATATGTACTTGTGTACTCTTCGGTCTTCCCCACTCTAGCTACAGTGCACTTCATGAGGGCAGGACTGCTATATTCCCAGCACCTGGCAAAATTCTTAGCACATGGGATGTACTCAGTATGTATTGGAAGAGTGGCTTGAAAAATGGGTGAATGAAAGCAGTAAGGTAGGCATGAAACTGTAAGAATGCAAGGCTGATCTAAAGGGCCCCCAAGACCACTGAATCCACCCCTTTATAAAACAGATGAGAAGTCCAGAAGGAGGTAGTGATTTTCGCTACACTAGATACCAGAGCAATAGATGAACAGGAACTGAAATCTAGGTATCCCAGCTCATGGTCCATGCTATTTCCATTACAACACTGTTCCCTGCTGCACTCAGGGTCAAGATTTCTGCTGTCTAAGATGATGTATGACATCATACTTTTGAGATTAAGCTATAAGTTCACATCATGCATAGCTTTTTGAAAGTATCATCCATTTTAACAGAAGAAAAAGAAACTGCATTAAACTAAAATGTCTCTTGTATAGCAAATTTTAAAACACTGTACTTGGTGGATGAAGAATGGAATTGGGACACTTTATAATCCTTTTTGGTGTCCCTTCAATTTTTACCATAAGACCAGACTGGTCCCTTAGGAAAACCTGAATCAAGTGAGGCTGTCACAAAGTAAGCTGAGATCTGCTTGGCAGAAGTTACACTATATAGTCAAGGCTAACAGCCAGTGGGGAGAAAATGGGAGCAGGGGTAAAGAATTGTGGGACCAGCAGTCAGCGTAATGGCTATGTCGCTGGACTCCCATGTGGTAGACCGTGGTTTGCATCCAGGACCCGGTGGCTTAAAACTCACGCTGGGTGTGTGTGCGTGCGTGCCCAAGATCCCGAGAGGAGAATGGAGGAGAAGGGACTGTGGCGTCGCCAACCTGCTGGGGGGTGATTTCTCGCTTTCTATCTGTCTGTCTCTGTCTGTCTGGCGAGCGCACACATCCTATAGCAAAAAAAAGAAAAGAAAAGAATTGAAGAGAACATCCACTTGAAAGCTAGAAAAGGGAAGAGAGTAATAATGTGCCCATTTATTTCTATCTGTCCAGGGAAGAGAACAGATAAACCTCAGTCTTTTTTTTTTTTCCAAATTCTTTCATAACATTCAATCCCATTATTTAGCTTGCAAAGTGAATATTCCAACATGTGTACACTTCTGCCCAGTGGAGTTGATAATACTATAAAGTTATCTTCAACAGATAATACCCCATTTCTTTGTCCCATTAATGCTTTGCCTCTCTATTTTTCTTCTAAATGTCTTTCCTCAGACTCTACTCTTTCACCCACCCTCTTCCCACTCTGAATCTGGTATTCACAACCATTTACTGTGTTTCTATATCCTTTAGTAAATCAGTTTCAGTCATAGAGTGCAGACACTCGGTATATATTAATCACAACCAACTTGAATAGAAAGAAATAGGGTATGCATAATTAAAATATGTTAGCAGGACAACCCCCCTTCTCTGCTTACCACAAACAATGTGCCCAACTTCAGAGCATGCATCATACTTGCCTAAGCCTATCACAACCTTCCCCTTTACCTTTACAAATGATTGGTGTAGCAATGAGCATGTGATTCAGTTCTAGCCAATAAACACAAGAAGAAGCTCATCCAGTGCCTTTTGGGGAGAGGATTTTCTCCTTGGAAAAGGAGAAAGCCAATTGTGCTTTCCCTAAGGTCCTTCCTCCTTGGAATTCTGGTATATAATAATATCATGCTCATAGTTGTGCCAACCATTTTGGAACCTTGAGAAGAAACATCCTGTCTCACAGAGAGCAGAACAGCAGCATTGTGAGTCCTTGGTGACATCATTGAGCTGTTGAATTGACCCCAAGACCTCCTGTCTCTGGTTTCCTATTAAGTGAAATACTAAATGTTCATACGAATTGAGGCAATGTTAGGTTTATGATTTAAGCCAAGGGTTAACAGCTTTTTCTGTAAAGGATCAAGTATTTTAAGCTCTGTGGGCTATATGATCTCTGTTTCAAGTACACAACTTAACCACTGTAGCACAAAAACAGTCATAGATAATATGGACGTAAGTAGGCTGTATTTCAATAAAACTTAATTTAGGACCAGATTTAGTCCATGAGCCATAGTTTGCCAATTTATAGTTTAATTCATTGATACATTAGTCTTTATTAAGAGCTTTCTATATGCCAGCCATAGTTCTAGGTGCTGGGATATAGCAGAAATAAAAACACATCAGGTCTCTGCCTTCAGAAGCCTTATATGCTGCTCAGAGAGGCATATAATAAACAACTGAATAAATAAAGAAGACAATTACAGATTTTGATGAATGCTAGATGGAAATTGAATCATATTATTAAGACTTTTGAGGTTGGGCAGTGATGGGGATGAAGCCAGTTTATACAGGTTGGTAGAGAAGGCATTTCTAGATGACATTTGAGATCTAAAGAATCAGAAGGAAGATCCTGCAACAAATCACAGGAATTAGAAATGCAAAGACCTAATAACAGGAATACATTTGGCATATTCAGGAAGCCCAAAGAAAAATGAATAAGAGACAGAGTAATACATAGGTAGGTCCAAATGACATGGTGTCTTAATGGCCCAGGAAGAAATGTGAATTTTATGCCATGAGCAATTAAGGGTTCTATAGAGGTCAGTGATATAATAATGATTTATATTTTTAAATTATTAATCTAGCTGTTACATGGACTGTGGGAGTCAGGAGTGAAGCAGACATGCCAGTTGGGAAGCTATTGCAACAGCTCAAGAATTTTATAAGAAGTGTTTCAGTTGACTCAAGTTATGGTTACACTGGGTTTCCCCTATATGGTAAAGATAGGCCAAAGGAAGAAAATTAGGAAATTAGGAATCTAGAAGAGGAAAGAAGGTACCGTAAAGATAGGCTAGTTTCTTTATAAAGATGTTTATGAAGCCACAATCCAATAAGGTCCTGAGATAAGTTCACCTGGCACCAGGAGCCAAGAGTTTCTGGGACACTCTCTACTTTTGCCAGCTCATAATGAGCCTTGAACATTGTGTCTCTTGAGTCTAGAAAGAAGTGGCACAACCTTGAGGCATTTGTGGGCTCAATCTGTAGGCCCACTTTTGAGGCAAGGAATTAGCAAGTCATACATTGACCATTCAGCAATTCTACTTGCTCGTTACTTCGTCTTACATGGTCGCACTACACTCCAAAAGAGGCCTTAGTAGAGGGGTGGTCAGATTGTGTATTTATTCCTTACTGGGTTCACAGAGGGTTTGAGGCAGTTTAAAAAAATGCAGGTAATAAGATAGAAAGGTATAAATTAAATAGATCAAACCTAAAGAAAATACAAATCAGATGAAAGATTAAGACCAGGGAGCAGAAAACTCAAATGTGAGTTATTACATCCTACATTGTTTCCATCACAAAAAATAGGATGAAAATCCCATCTGTTAGCTGATTCCTATTGTCTTATTCATATTTCCTCCAGCATTATACAAATTTCCCATATTTTCATCAGTTCTTAGTGTTGCCCAAGAGGGTCAGGACACTTTGAGCAAATGACTTCTCTCTTCCCTCCCCAGCCAAATGAGATTGGCTAGTTTATAAGGAAAAGGTTGACTCTAGGCTGGGGCTTCCTGGCCAGCCACACAGTATCCATGTGCTTATTATGGGTGACCGCAATGAGGACCCCATTTTCCCCACTTGCCTCTGTGTGAGGATTACAAAAATAGTCTTACCTCCATTCTAGGCAGGGAGGGAAGCGTGCAGCTGGTACTCACAATTTTCTACTCAATTGCTCTCTTCTGGTTCAGCTTAACTTAATGATTTCCCAATCAGATTTGAATTCTTGCACATTAATAAAGTCAAAATGCTAACAAGCAAGGGAAATGGAACCAAGACCTGAGTTCCTGGGGCCAGAGATCCAGGGAATGGGTCAAGGTCAGAGTGAGGCTAACAAGGGGGCACATCAATGAAAACAAGCCAGAGGTAACCCCCTGGCTTTTGCTCTGATCCCAAAATAAAAGCCCATTAACCCAGACTGTTGAGCTCAATATTTAGCTCAAGCTCAGGTTACTTTGGGCAAATGACTTCCCTTCACCTCGCTCCCCAACCAAATGAGATTGACTAGTTTTTCAGGGAGGAGGAGAGGTTACAGCCTACAAAGGAGAGAGATATTGTCAGTGTCAGCCAATAGTCACAACACTTCTCCAGATTAAACTATCCTATGTATACCTCTCTCTGGCCACTCCTTCTCTGATCCTTTCTCCTGCCTCCTCCATCATCCCACTGACCCTCCAGTACACCTCTGCCCCATGTTTGTCTTTAGACTATTGGTGTCTCTCTGCTATGTCTTTCTGATCAGGCAGTTCCTACAGTGTCTCCTCTGGCTCTGCTCTCTTAGGCTCTCTGAGTCCATCTGTGAACTGCCTCTACAACATCCTAGGCAGAAGGGACCATTCTGTGTGTACAGGTACTACCTCCTGTCCCTGAACAAACTGCCCAAGAACTGGCTTAGATGGATCACCTGTCAGTCTGATGATCCACAGGATTCTGTCGGCTCTTCTAAGCTAGCAACCCTGTCTGGATGGTCCAGCTCCAACCTCTGCCTCACCTGTGCTATGTCACAGACCACCCCGCTCCCCTGAACTTGATGAAGGTGACAGAGCTCTATCATAAGAGATAGGCTGGGTCCTGAAGTAGGGTGACAGATTCCTCCTAGTTTGCCTAGAACTTTCCAGTTTTACTAAAAGTCCCAAGTCCTGGAAACATCTTTAGTCCTGGGTAAACCAGAGTAGTTGGTCACCCTGCGAGATAATTGAACTTAGACTATAAGAACCAGCTCCAAGGGGCCAGCAGATGCCATAGCAGTTATGTTGCTGGATTCTCACATGGCTGACCATAGTTCAAGTCCTGTAACTTGCTGGCTTGGAAATCATGCTTAGCATGTGTGCATCCATGCCCAAGATCCTGGGAAGAGATTAAAGGGATTGCAATATAACCATCCTTACTGGGGGATGATTTCTCACTTTCCCTCTCACTGTCTCTGTCTCTCTCTCTCCCTCCAGTGAGAGCACGTGTCCTAAGGTAAAATCCCCTCAAAACAAAACAAAACAAAACAAAACAGCTCTTGTCCCAGCTCTGCTCCATATTATTTAGAACCATGAACAACACATATCTCCCTTTCTAGAAACTAACAGTTGCAATCCCTTCCCTGCCTACCTCTCAGGGCTATTCTAAGGGTCACATCAGATAATGAATGTGAAGTGCTTAGTGAACACTAAAGCACCAGACAGATGTAAAGGGGATTTTATAACACAGTGTTTATGACCCAGAGGCCAGAGTATTAGCAATTTCAATTAATCAAAGAAATGGAAAAATAAATTGGTTTTATGGAAACAGATTCTCACACCTTGCTAAGGGTTCAGGACTTGGGCACAGGAAAGGCAAGAATCCAAAGGACTTATTGCTCTGGTTGGGCTACTTGCTAGCAGAGGCTTGCCCAAGCTCACCCTCTCCTCCAGGAGCCTAGAATATACCTGCCTGGGACTGACAAATTCAGCCTCAGGACTTGGTCTTGTCAATATTCGTTTTCAGCCACAGAGAAATCAAGTGCAGCTTACTCTTACTGCCCATGCCATGGTTGAATAAAACCAAGATGTGTCCACTAAGCACCATTTACTTGAGCTTCACAAGCTGTTGTGTTCTTACCCTTGAACATTGGTATGTCCAGTGCTCTGGGCTTCAAAAGACTCTACACATATTCTAATATGCTCAAGGTGAATCCTCCCTCCTACTGTAGTCTCTATTATGCAGATTATCACCAGATGCTAGTGCAAAACACTGGCCTGAACAGGACAGGCACCATCTTGAAATTGGAGCTCTAATGCACAGAGTTGAATATTGACCTAGCTCTAATGAGCAGGCTCCCTTGTTTCCTTCTGGAAGGAAGGTTCTAGTTGAAGCCTAAAATCAAACTCACTTTTACAGACAGACATCCCAGTGTTCAAACTGAAGAAATTCTTCCAGATGGGGAGGCAGGCAGAGAAATGTTCACACATAAACAGTTCTTACATAAGGCCTTTGAAACGGAGCCATTCATGCCAGTGTGGACTTCGGCATGGTGAGTGACAATGTCATCAATAATTTGTGAGCAAGGTTTGCTGTGGACAATTTGTAATGCAGATCATCTGTCCCTGTGTAATTAAGAAGAGATTGTATCCAGTTCTGGTTTATGACTTTATTGGGTTGAAGCGCTGCGAGGCCAATAAAGAAAAACAACAACTACAACAGTAAAACTAATAGCCTTCTCTCCCCCCCAGCTCAGCTAATCAATGAAACCATCAGAAAAGCTTTGCCTTAGACCAAGCCACTGCTGAACTGGACCCTATCAGTCAGTCTTTGTGGAAGTCACTAGTGTTCCTGTACTCTTTCCATCTGTGTTGTGAGGTAGGAGCCAGCCAGTCCCCACTCTGTCCCTCTCACTTGCAGCATTAGTAATGTTATTTGCTGGTAAACTCCACTTTGAAAAGCCAGCAGTAGTGAGCACTATGGGAATTTGCCTAGATTAAAATAACAGTGTCCACTCCTTTTTAACTTGAAAGATGTTTTAAAATTGGAGAGTGCTCTTAAAGTTCATCGTCTTTATAAAGGAGAAAGACAGGATTGGAGGCTGTTCAAGGGGGAGGGACATGAAGAACAATCAAGCACATTGTTGGAGAAACAAAGATTAAAATCAGAGCATTCTGATTCCACTG